GGGATGGGATTTAATGGGCAGGAGAGGATATTAATTGTGATTTATCCCTCCAGGTACCCATTTGTGGGGGTTGAGTGGAGTTTTAAAACCCCATCCTTGGCAGCAAAATTAAAAGCATAGAAATTAGACTGTAAAACCTTGTTTTGAGCAAGTTCCAGTTATGGAGTGAGCTGTGGCTCTCCCTATCTCACCCTGCTTAACAAAGAATCAGGCAACAACTTGGGAAGTAAGTTTAAAAAGATGAATTACTCACTTATAATATTGCAATGGCAGCAGTAAAAACTACGCAGGGAAAATGCTTGCAGTATAGGTAAAGGTAAAGGTACAGCTTTTGGCATGTACCTAAAGTTGGAGCAAGTGGAGGCATGTCTTGCATCCATTGCTGGTCAACGGAAGAGAGAGAGGAACAGGAAATATCATTTTCTCCTTCCTTTCCAGCAGCAAAGGGGAAATGACATCACACAAAGCCCACCCTCCCAATTGTATTTCTATGGTTTGTGTATCTGAGTATCAGCAATGCAGTTCTGTTGTATTAACCCCTTCTCATGCTAACTAGCAAGAATATGAATGCTAGGTTTGGCTACTAATCTCCCAGAATAACATGATGCCATTGTATTGGCATCCATCCATCCATCTCCTTGCCAGTTCAGTGCATATTGCTTCCGGCGGAGAGCAAAACACTGAATGTGCTGTCACTCTAGCTACTGCGCCACTGCCATTCCTTCATTCAGGTTACCATTTTAGAATAGGCTAGTCCAGTCTTCTCCAGCCTGTTGCCCTCCAGATGTTGCTCCATCACCCGTAGGCAACACGACCAATGGTCAGGTATGAGTCCAACAACATCTGGAAGACACCAGGTTGGGAAAGGGTGGGTTAGTCTTTCCCAAGAGGACTTAAAGTAGACTGGGAGGGCAGGGTAGATTCTAGAATGAAGAATAAGAGTGTTGGCTGCTGTGTGCTAGGAAGAACCCAAATATTAAATTCTGCAGTTGTTCAGCTTGTGGGGCAGATACATACCTTTAGATATACCATCTCCATGATATTCTGGAATTCTGTGTCTTGCTCTCTAAATCTACTTTGGTATGTTTTTTACTTGTTCATTTGGTTCCATTGTTTGTAATTTTTGTTTGTAATTTTTGTGGTGCTGATTAATAGGCAGGTGAGCTACCTGCTGCAAATCTCAGCTTGCGCCGGGATGCACAGTTTCAGCTCATGCTAAATTTGCAATCTGACTTCACTGGAGTACAAAATTGGCTTGCTTGTCATAAGCTGCTAATACGAGCAAAACAATATAATACTGCTTTTTCTGGCTCAAGTGGAGGATTACAGTGGCTCAGAGGACTTTCTTCTTCTTCAAAATTTGCACTGTAGGTGAACAGCTGTTTCTAATGGGCAAACCTTGTTAAAAATCAAAGAGCATGGGTTGGCTTGTACTCGAGCACCACGTTTGCTTGATAACAAGCGGTCACACCTAGAGAGTTTAGTTGGTGAGGAGGAAGCAGCGGAGGATCTGTGAGTTGTTTTTGCAAACAGAGATTAGTAGCTCCTCTCCCCCCACCCCACGCCGCCCCTTATTGTATCAAGATGGATTTTGAACCATAAGGTGAGACACACAATCTTATTGAACAGAGCTGCCATAATGTTTAACAATAGATTAGACAGATTTGCAGCAAATTACGCCAACGGCATACTCCATTGCATTACACACGGTCAATTAAATGTGCTTCCATTTGGAAAGAGACGGCTGCAGCATTAATTACAATATTTATACATGCCTGCAAGGAAGTTTGCCTAGTTATCATACCTTTGTGCCAAATAGAGCTGATAAGATTTCCACAAGTGACTGTACTGATGAAAAGAGCATCTTGTGCGAGCCCTTGGGAGAAATCAAAAAAGTTAAAAGTCTGCTGTTTCTGGCTGTCAAACACACACACACACCCCTTTTCAAAACAAAGAATATTCAAAACATTGTGTTGGATAGGTAATGACTAAATGCTTCTGGAAGGGGAGATCTCAGAAGTAAATTCTGCTTAATACTGCAAGTTTTGGCCTACCTGAAGTGAAGGGCAGGAACACACTGTCAGCTGAATGCATAACAGAGAACACCTCTGAGGAAAATTAAACTCTCTTTTTTTCCACAATAAGGTGCTTCGGATTCCATTTCGAAAGGAAAGCATTTGCATTGCAATGTATTTTGTATCAGTTTCTATGGGGAACAGTATCAAAGGTTACCCTGTTCATAAAAAAAACCATCCTGTTCATCAAAACAACACCCCAACCTTGCATAATCACCACTCTAGTAAATAAACAATAATAACATATCAGGCAGGGGTCCTAGAAACAAACCTTTATCTTTAAACGGTTTTATTTTCCACTGTTATTCTTCTTCTGTCTCTTCATGCGGTGCATTCTCAAGTGGCAGAAAAGCTGGCAGTAGGCCTAATAGTAACAGGGTTCAAAAGACCACATTAAAGAGCTCTTCCTGTATATTATACATTATTGTGGCAGCACACAATCATATTTTTGGGTTCCTCTTCAAATGTAAATGATTTGTGTGGGAAACAATTATGTTTCCTTCCTAACAAATCCCCACCCCCATTGTGCCATCATGTAGAGCACTCGATGGCGTAACCGAGTTTTCTTACCATTTAATTACTCTGTGTTTTCAGAGATGTGCACATTGCCACTGGATTTCTCTGCATGTTTGAAGGCTTAAAGTGCTTTACAGTGGTACTTCGGGTTAACTACTTAATTCGTTCTGGGGGTCCGTTCTTAACTTGAAGCTGTTCTTAACCTGAAGCACCACTTTAGCTAATGGGGCCTCTTGCTGCTGCTGTGCCGCTGGAGCACGATTTCTGTTCTTATCCTGAAGCAAAGTACTTAACCTGAGGTACTATTTCTGGGTTAGTGGAGTCTGTAACCTGAAGCATATGTAACCCGAGGTACCACTGTATTGTCAAGGATTTCTTAAGTAGCAGTGAATGCTCTGTTCTCAGAGTGTTATAAACTTCTATGCAAAATTACACAACCTGTGTGTAAGTCCACATGGTACATTGCTTTCTCCCCTTTTCGAGATGAAAGAATTGTGAAGCTCAGTTGTATACGTGTATATCCTGCCACATGTTAGGTTGTATGTGTAACAAAGGGACTCTACTAAGTGTATGCCATTCTGCAGGCATGCCATTCTTCTAACTCTCCTCAACTTTGCCTATGCTTATTTCCCCTCCCAATTCCACTTACTCAAGCCAAGGCATAACCAATGTGGTACTTGGGATGTTGATGGACTCCAACTCCCATCAGTCCCAGCCAGGATGGCTAATGATCAGCGATGATGGGAGTTGTAGTCTAACAGCATGAACGCCTTAACAAATCAGCACACTGGAAAAATGGAGATGGATTTATACATCAAATTGCATGTTTGTACATGTAGAGGGTTGGTGGCATCCTTTTGTCTCACAAGACAATGGAGTGCACCTCTGAAACTGCTGGAGAATCACAGCGCCTGCTGTGGCTGCAGGCCTGGGCAGTGTGTTTGGACGTAAATGTATGCATGGCTGCAACTAAAGACTACAAACCTATACCCATTTACCTGCAAATACGTTCCTTTGAACTCAGAGACACTTAATTCTGAGTAGGCACATACAGAATTCTGCTGTAAAACCATTTGTCATCAGAAGCAATGCTGGATACAAAAAGATATCCACAGTGTTCAAAAAATTTCACAGACTCATCAAATTCCTATGTTCTTTCGTACTGCAAGAGAGAGGATTACTTTGGGTCAAGATTTATTTTGTCAGGAAGAAAGAATGCTCAAATGAGTTACATCATTGGTGTTTATTCAATTAATATTTTTTTTTTTTTACTCCCTGAAAATTGGAGCCACATTTAACCATAGCTGTGAGTATTAAGGTCAGTCACACTGCACCATTTCACACTGGGCTAAGCATATCGGAAATCTCTATGAATAAGCTTTACATCCAGATTTGAAATTCAGTCCTCATGAACTATGCAAACTACAGTGTGCTGAAAACATTTCCTACCCGGGGCTTTATTAAAATGGGCATAGAGTTGCGCTAGAACACAACTGAGTACCTGGGCTATTTCCAGAAATATCGATGTGGCTTGCATTACATGGATCTTTCCCATGGATATTGTCCCTGTTGTCAGAGCCTTTCAACATATTACCAGAATGAGGTTGTAGACAGAAGTGGTAGAATAATGGACTGTACCACTTCTGACTGCACAGTGGAATGTTCCTTCACATTGAGAGGTTTGTCAATTGTATGTAACCTCTGTCTACTCTATGCAAAGTAGCTCTTTAGGCTGAAAGTTTTAGCATGACCTTGATCTACTGGTTTTTTATATTTTGGGAGGTCTTTATGTAGGGGAGCAAATAACTCCCTGTACTCTGCAGTATGAAGTGCTACAGTCTGGAATTCTACCATGCTATAACTTTATGTAATATGCCGAATAGCTTCTCAATCGTCAGCAACTCAACCAAAATAGCTGTCTAGTGTCTACATTGCCACATCACAACGAAAATTCAGTGAGATAGTTTTCTAACTATGATTGTCTAATTGGCCATATGAAAATGTTGCTATGTAATGGGAATAAGAGATTTCATGTTGATCAACAAATCTGCACTGAATGCCCTAGCTACATTCCTAAATTTCAGGATTTTGCTCATGCAAAATTCTTTCTAAAGCTGCAGATGTTCTTTTTGTGTCAATTTTTTATTAAACTTTAAAATCTTTAGATATAAATTCAAGATCCCAAATTTGTTATACATTTCTCTTTAAACTTTGACCTCCTGCTCCCCCCCCCGTGCTGTTCTTAATCCCATCCCATTTACATATTGCATTTTAATAAACTTTTCACCGAGGACATTCTCTTCTATTTCATATATTATCAAATTTTCTACCGCTGCTCATATTTCAAATCCTGCTCGCGATTTGATCTGCTCATGATATTTTCTGATGTTGTTCTTTTTCATATTGCAGAGCACGGACTCAAATTCAAATGTGAGAAAAAGAACTAATACCACCGTACAGGCGGAAACGGAGGGCGTCAGGAGAATTGATACAGGAAACAGTTCCATGCCACCTTCAACGGTAACTCAGGGGCCTTCGGACGTTATGCCCCGATCTCCTTCAGCATCAAGTCCGAACCCCTTCAGCCGAATTAGCATATCAGAAACATTGGCTTCTGCAAGAGCTACTCCTTCAGCTCCTCCCTCTACCCCAGTTTTAACAGGATATATTCCCCAGCAAGCCACGGCTGGATCTCCAACCATTCACCGTTTACTTGGATCTAGACTGGAGCAGATTCAGACTACAGCAAATACTTTGGGGGCGCCTTCCAAGTCGTCAGTCGTCGCTCCTCCTCCTCCTCCCCCACCCTCAAGCTCTGGCACCAGTAAGATAGACAAATATGCACGCATTTTGTTCCCCGTCACCTTTGGAGCATTTAATATGGTCTACTGGGTGGTGTATCTATCCAAGGACACGATGGAGAAATCGAAAAGTCTAATGTAGTCTTGCTGCTATGTAGTAGGTTTTTTCTGAAATTTATTCTACACACATTTGAATGCAGAGTTTCTTCTTTTAAAGCTATTTTTTAAAAAAGAAACCTTTAATGCTTATTTTATAAAAAAAAAAGAGAGAGAAAAAGCTCTGTGCTCGTTTTCCCATGGTAAAGGGCAGGTATTATTAGGAAAATTAACGCAGCAAAATGGAGGGGCAGGGAGTATGGACACTGTCTTCCAGGCCTTCTTGAAATGGTGTTCTGTTTGAACAAAAATGCATGGGGCCATTGGGAAGAACAGAGATGGGAAGCAAATATATTATAGTGATATGCAGATACATGTATACAATAAATGTGGTCTGGCTTTCCCGAAAGTGTGCATCAGTAAGTAGAAGCTGATGTTTTCATGGCCTAGCTGCAGGGCAGTATTCTCTCCTGTGAGTTGGGGTGGCTGTGAATTGGAGGTTATTCATACCTTTGCTGGTAAAGACACACCTTGGAAAAAACCCCCACAAGCATTCATGTAGTGGAAAGCAAAGCAAAAAAAAACTTGCTGTATGTGGGGAAGCTTTAGGAGAAAAGAGCTATGCAAATAAGGGGGTAGATAATTTCCACTAAACAAAATGCACAGGCAATTATGTTTTTGAACTAAGCTTGGGTGGGTCTTGAGGTAAAACACTTGCACAAAATCTTTTTGGCTGGTAAATTAGGGTCATGACCAAGCCCAATTTAAGTCAGTTCCACTAATATGAATGGGACACAGCTTGAATTGGATAATATAACCTGTCTAAGTAAACTGGAACTTGCATCATTTAAATCAACTTGCTAGTTGCATTGCCCTGCATTTCATGTGCATCCTCCATAAATCATTTAAGCATCATTCTTGCATTTAAGCTATGTTAGGTTCAAGTTCACTTAATGTTTACCCTTCAACAGTTGTTTTATAGAAAAGCAGTACCAAATGGATGGATTTGCCCCTCTACTTTCCGTGATATTTTTGTTTTTCCTTCCCTCGCTTGCCAGGATGTTTCCCCTCTTCACTTGCTTTGATGACTTTAGCTTAGATTTCTAATACATCTTAGTTTGAATATGTGAATATTGAACCAGGGCCTGGTTGTTGTTCCTGTTTCAGTGGCCTTAATCACAGTAACTTCAGGTCTCTCCACTGTGGCACTGGGGCTGCTTCCTGTGGATTTTAACCTAGGTACTTCTGTGACATTTGTATGTAGGAACCTATGTTTCCCACATGAATGTTGAACAGCCTCTATCTGACCATGGAACTGGGTCATGGCAAAGCGATTCCCATACCAGTGTCAGAACATAAGAAATGAGCCAATTCTGAGAAGTACCGTGTTTTAAGCACTTTACTGGTTTAGCCGAATTGTACAACCCGCAGCACCAACCCATAAATATTTAGAATGTGGATTAGTGGCAGCTACAAACTGCAAATGTTAAATTTTGGCAGCACTGCAGCAACATTATGATAACATTGCGCTGGAGCTAGTCTGTGAGCTAGTCCTACGGGATTGCTTTGGAGAGCCATTTGTGTTTCTCTTGAGTTACAGCTCTGAAAAGAAAAGAAAGATCAAGCTCGGAAAGTATTGTTTCCATCAAAATTGTATCTCTCCTCATGTCTCTGCTCATTTCTGCATTTCTTCTTTATCTGTCCACGAGTCTCCCCACTCCCTGGATTGAATGTTTTACCAAAAGGTAGACAGTCAATATGGTACAAGAGGGGTAGGTCAGAACATTGGCATGGGAAGTAACTATGAATACTTCCTTCAACATTTTGGTATGTCTGTCTGCAATGCAAGCTGTGAAGGTTCAGGTGAATGAATAACTTGCTAGGATCACCCCTAGAACACTACAGTGGTACCTCGGGTTACAAACGCTTCAGGTTACGAACTCCGCTAACCCAGAAGTTGTTGCTAGTTGCTAACTAAGTAAGTAGTTAACTAAGTAGTTGCTAGTTCCGCTAACCCGGAAGTAGTTGCTCTGGGTTGCAAACTTTGCCCCAGGATGAGAATGGAAATCGCACGCCAGTAGTGCAGAGGCAGTGGAAGGCCCCATTAGCGAAAGTGCGCCTCAGGTTAAGAACGGTTTTGGGTTAAGAACGGACCTCTGGAATGAATTAAGTTTGTAACCCGAGGTACCACTGTACTTCTGTCTTCTCTCTAGTAGTGTATTCAGTGCCTTTAAAAGCAGGCAGCCGTTATTGCCCATGTTTTCCAAAGATATATTGACAAAGTCCCTTAAAAAAAGCCTGTTTCCAAGCTTTCTTCTTATAGTTCACCTGGTTTCATACTGTTCTACAGTGCCATGAAGAAGCACTGCCCATCACTGCGTGACTCTTGACTGTTTTCGATTATGCATAGTGCAGAGAATGTGAATTGAATCAAGTTTTCCTCCCTTTCCCATAAAAATACAAGAAGTTGGGGTCCTCCAGTGAAGCTAAAAGTTGGAAGGTTTAGGACAGAGAAGAGTGTTATCACGCTCAGGTATGGCTGGCCACTGTAAGAACAGGATGCTGGACTAGATGGGTGCTTGGTCTGATATTAAAGTTACTTGCATTCTTACGGCTTCAGCCCAATATACCTGAAGGAGCATCTCCACCTCCATCGTTCAGCCCAGACACTGAGATCTAGCTCCGAGGGCCTTCTGGTGGTTCCCCCAGTGTGAGAAGTGAGGTTACAGGGAACCAGGCAGTGGACCTTCTCAGTAGTGGCACCCGCAATGCGGAACGCCTTCCCATCAGATGTCAAGGAACTAAACAACTCTCTGACTTTTAGAAGACATCTGAAGGCAGCCCTGTTTAGGAAAGTTTTTTATGTCTGATCTTTTATCGTGTTTTTAATGTTCTGTTGGAAGCCACCCAGAGTGGCTGAGGAAACCCAGCCAGATGGGTGGGGTATTACCGTGATAATAATAATAATAATAATAATAATAATAATAATATATTATTATTATTATTATTATTCTACTTCTGAAATGGGAGACCTCCTGTTCTAATGGAGGCTCCCCGTGCATTTCTGAATCCTGATCTTCTAGGGTTTTAAAACATGTGGGGCATCTCTGTGAGTTTAGGAGGGGCCTCACTTCAGAAGTAGTAGCCAAACCGAAGAGCAGTCAAAAGGAACGGCACAATAAAATAGGCAGAGCTAAAGGTGTGACCAGGTGACCTGTCTCTACCTTCATGGCAGTAACTCTGACTGTGGTACCGATGGCTCTATGCATGGCAGCTAGCTAGAATACTATCTTTAGATGACGCCATTCTTGCTTAACAGACTCTACAACTGGTAAGCCCAATGTTATTAGAATTCCATAGATGGTGGAACTAGTGAAATGAATTAATGGTTTTATTATTGCCCCATATCTAAGTTAGATTCTGAGAGGGGGGTGTGGTAATCAGAGTTAAGCCTGAGCCCATACAGGTGATCAAATTGTCCTTAAATGAGTCCTCTCTGAGGCAAACTAGTTTGAATCATTCAGGTGCAGATTCATGGTAAAATACGTGTCTGTGTCCACCTCCACATTCTGGAAATTTCAATATTGTAGCTGTCCAGTTGGAATGTTTTGTATTTATTTTGAGTCATGTAGTACATTTATGAAGCAAAGACTGGGGAAATCAGAAGAAATCAATGCATTACAGATGGCACTTACAGAAGCCTTTTTCTCTGTCACACCTTGTGAATTTTGGACTCTGCTGAAAGTACATAACAATGATTCAAAGATTTCAAAGACCTACAAGTAGTAGATAGTAAAAGCTTTTTGGTTGGGTTACATTATTGTTTCTCTGCCTTTATGAAATCACATTGTTCATTTCCTCCATGCCATCTTGGGAATTGGGCCTGTACGATGACTAAGCAAACAAGCTGTATATAGTCTGCTAGCTGTAGTTAGTGGGCTACCAGGGGCTTGATAAATTATCATTTTTTGTAGTATGCTGGCAGCTATCTGGCAGGCCACAGTGCATGACTGGTGGGCTGTGTTTGGCTTGGTGGGTTGCAAGTTGTGCAGACCTCTCTTGAGAATCAACTAATTGCTTATATTCACTCATCAAGATGGCTGCAGCTGTCCTTGAGTAAGTAGTAGGTTCACACTGAAGTTTCTTCACATGGTCAGACACCCAAGTGCACTGCTATGTGTGGCAAAAGAATAGTTTGTTCATGTGAAGTAGGCCCCAGCCTCCTACAATCCATGCTCCCACCATGGGTGCCATCTTTCTTGACTTCTTCATATCGTTCTTCTTGCACCATACCTGTCTTCAGCTCCACAAGTAGCTGGGCCCACTGCAGTTAATAACTCACAATCAAATCTCCTTCTTTCAGCTATCCAGGCAGAGTCACAACCCACAAATACAACTTGTTTACTGGTTTCTCCAATAAAGCATGCGAAATTGCTTGCTTCCCCTCTGTTTCAGACCTGGGCTTCATTGAAGCAGTTTCTAGTCAGAGGAGACACAGATTTTCTGGGTGCCTCAGAAGCCTGCAATATTGCTGTTAAGGTTGCTTTCATCACCAATCTACATTCTTCCCTCATCTGACATGCGCCCTCCCTCTCGTACTTCTTTCTTCATTTGAATGGTGATTGTCCTTTCATGCTGTCATTCTTCACCAATGGCCATTTTAAAAAATGCTGGGAAATCATGAGTGAAGCCCCAGATTCCCTACAGTTCCCCACCTCCCAACTCTGGGATCAAACACAGTAGTGTCTAGGAAGTGGCAAAGGAATAGTGCAACTAATATCCCTCTGGGCCTGTACAACTTGAGAATGGAAGTAGCCCCTTATAGATTTGAATACAGAGCAAGATTTCCAGAAAACAAGCCCCTTCTCTCTTAAGAAAGTTTCTTATCTTTCAAATCGTTTTTCTTTTAATCTGTCATTTTACAAGGGATCATATAAATACCTCTAAACACCTGTGTGCTTACATCCCCAAAACACAGATAAAGATAATGCTATTCCAAGTCAAGAAGTAACAACCATCCTTATCATTTTTATACAGTGTTTTTTTAAGTGTTCTGAGCTTAAGTCTCTGAGAAGCAAAATGTATTTTTTTTTGTTGATGTATAAGCACCGCCAGCTGAGCATGTTTGGTTTCCAGTACTGAATCTGCTGATGCAACAGATATGCTTTAAAAATATTTTCTATTGTGTTGCTTTGTAATATGTAATTTGATTTACTTTTGGGGGACATCTTTCTGTGTTCTTGCATTATAAGGATTTTCAAAGCAAATCAGTCAATTGGAATGTAAAATTTGAAGTCGATTTGTGTCTTCAATCCTTTTGAAGAAGGCAATGAGAGAATCCTCCTTTTTAATTGGTAAATTAGCTCTCCTTTGTAAATTATCTTCTTTTCCTTTGTAAATTAGCAAATGCACCAAGAACCTCAGAAACAGATGCAATTCTGTGAAGGTGACTTCAGAAAACTTCTCAAATCCAGACAGGGATTCTTCAAAGGGCAGTCAAAGGGGAAATGAAGGGGTCCTTCAGTGGGTTCCATCCATAAAAAGGCATCTTTTGTGAGGACTGGTACTTTCACATAGGTGTTCAATATAGGATCAGTGATGCCCTGTGCTCAATGGGAATGTTAGGGCAGAAGGTAGGGAGGCCAACATTAGGTGGAGGCACATCAACAGGCAGGGCCAACTAATTCATCTTTTGTCCCCATTTTCCTCCCTTTTGAGTTGTGCATGGGAAAGGAGAAGGAAACTGAAAGACAGTATCCGCCCCCAGCCTCCAGTAAGTACGTGGAGGGCTGGCTGAGAACAAAGTGAGGTTGGTGACTCAGTACCTCTTTGACAAGTGGACCAGCCTCCAGTGTATGTGCTTAGCATGTTTTGTGTGATTTTTCCAATTCCAGCTGCACAAAGAGCACACAACAGTGCGCTGCTGGTTCTCACAAATGGTTCCTTCTCATGATGCTTCTTGAGAGGAGCTTCCACAAGGTGTGGGGGCTATCACCAGGGCCCTGACAAATACACTTTGCTGCCTTCACAGCAAATGTCCTGGCCAGAGCAAGTCACGTTGCATAGAATCTAAGGACTCATCTACACCCGTTGGTTATAATGTTAGAAACGTGACACCTGAGTGTGCTGCAGAGCAGCGATCCACCAGCAATGGAAAAATGCATTGAGCATTATATAACATTATTTTTAATAATGTTTTTAAGAATCAATGTAGATCCAGCCTAAGTGTGGCCAAGTTATTTCAGCACTTGAGGAGAGGAAATCTCACTAGCACCTCTTCTTGGGAGTAGAAACACAACAACAATAAATAAATTAACTTCACCACAACCAGAATTACCTAGTGAATCTTCCCTCTGCCTACAGAACTGGGCCTAAATATCTGGGATCAGCCCAATGTAGAATGTTTCATCAACAGTGCTCTCAGTCCAGCCGTAGATTGCTAGTTAGGACTTACTCCCCTTGGAATCAATGGAACAAGTTAGTAGTGACTAACTCAAGGATAGTTGCTTTGAATGGGGCTTAGTCCTTACTAATAGGAGTTGGATTAGGGCCATTGGCTTGGGCCCTAAGATAAGTTGATTTAATTGAAGACTATTTCCCCATCCCTTCTTTCCGCCTGCAGGTGGGGGTAGGTGGGTGGGTGTCTTCCAAAACGATGTGAGGGGGGGACAGGTGGGAGAGGCAGGAAACACCTCAAACAAAGACTGGCTCCTAAATCAACTTAAGGAAGTTCATGGAAGGAAAGTTTCCTCCAAGCAGCAGCACCCTTGTTCAAGAGGGCAAGATCCAACTCATAGTCTTTAGCAGGCCTGGAGCCCAAGAAGGTTTGTCATGCTTAAGTCCTATCAAAAGGAATGAGCATTGAGTTAGTTCCCCCACTGTTTCAATGCACCTAAGTACAACTGTCTTTCTCCCGATACGTAGAGTTACAAAGTGTGTGCACACCCACAAGTTGTACATCTTACCAAGCAAAGCTCATTTGCAACTGTTTCCTTTTATTCCCCACCCCCCACACTTCTATTTGCAACATCAAATGTCTTGCAAGCATTGAGAAGTGGAAGATAATGAGACAAGAGAACTAATGTGTATTATGTGTACTG